GTACTCTGATACAAAAATACCCCCAAGCAATAGATTCTTGAGATATCTTAAAGGAGGATGGACTATGACACAAATTAGGTAGAGGAAAAGTTGTATGTAAGGTTGTCAATATGGTCAAATCGAGCAGATCCGAGTTCAAGCCCAACTTCTAGACCCGGCAAGTTGGGCTCAGGTTCAAAAGCATGGACCCAAGAGATGGGTCAGGTCGGTCCAACCAAGACCTAATCAGGTAGGATCAGGTCTGGATAGAGCCTTTCGCCACCCATTATTTTTTATATAAAAACTTACTCTTTATGTTTGACCCGGACCTAACCCAATCCAATAGGCTGGTATGGGTCGTATCAACCTAGACCTAAGCGGGTCCGATTCGAATGTTAGTCCAACCTTGGCTTTGTTGGGTTGGGGCCCACTCTGGATCTGACCCGACATGTTTACATCCTTAATTGTATTGGAAGGATACAACAATGCCAATTCAATATCAGATTATGAAGAATCCAAGTCAACCGGTAGATGGATCTTCACTTATAGTGGGGGTGTTGTTGCAGGGGGATCAAACATGAGTCTCAAGAACCACAACACAATTGGAGATAATTTCCTAAGCCATTAGTAGAGAAGCAAAATAGCTACGAAACTTGTTGGTAGACATACTACTAGTTCAAGATCTAATTACTGTGGTCTCAGCGCACAGTGATGAAGTCGTGGTATACCAAGTGAAGAATAAATATTATGATGGAAAGCCAAGAGTCCAAAACATATTCACTTGAGGCACAATCAAGACAATTATTCTAAGATGAAGTAATTTCAGTGGACCATGTAAGGTCAACAAAGAACTTGGCAGATCTATTAATTAAAGGCCCTAAAAGGAACCAAGTCTAGAAGACAGCTAGAGGGATGGATTGAAGCCTACAAAAGGTATACCAGAAAGTGATAGAAACGCTACCTAGAGACAAGGAGATCCCAAGTCCTATGTTAAAAGGGTTTCACCAAAATCAAGGAGGTACCATAACTAGGGTTGAACTAGAACCAGAGCTTTAGCTTTACTAGAGTTCTATACTTATCGAAATATTGAATGCTCCCAACTTGGTATAAGAACCAAGATGCAATCCAATTCAGGCGAGAATAATCCCAAAATACAGCCAATTCGATAAACACCTTTTGATATTCTGAGTTGAACGCTCAAAACTCTCTTAAATCCAAAATCATTCATATCGATTTGCCTTCAAATTGGCAAATAATTAAGCAAACAACTATTTGAAATAAATCTCGCAGACATTGATAGAAGGAAACTTGATTTTTCCACAGTTCTAATTGGTCAAGATATGGATTCCAAGAGAGAGAATCATCATGAATTCAATGAGAACATCGACAAATACAAGCGAAATGGGGGGGGGTGATCTCCTAACCATAGTGTGGTCTATATCATAGAGTGAAACACATTATTCAAAAATCAAAATTAACACTAAAATGTTCAAAACCAGCAAAGTAAATGTTTATTCATATGACAACAAGACACTGTGTGGTCAAGCACTGCAATGAATTCAAAGTCCACCAAAATAACAAATAAGACACAAATTTGATATCCACAATAAAAAGTGAAAGCACAAAACAGAAATCACATAAGTGAATTTTGGAACAAAGAAGAAATGATGGATCTCTCCAAGGAAGAAATTCATCACAAAGACATTTAATAATAACAAAGAGGGACGTAGGACAAGCTTAACAAACCTAGATACATGCCCAAAAAACACGTGGCACATGTGGGAGAGAAAATAGAAAATAATAAAAACAGGGTCCTAAAAATTGGAGAAGATGAAAGGAACAATTGAAGAGGCTAAAATTTTCTGAAAAAAAAAAAAATCCAAAACATTGATAACTAGGACCATCTAAAACGAAAAAACTGGGCGACTAGAAGACCCCTCCGCACATTCAATCAAGGAGAACTCAAATATGTGGAATGATAACTTTTTCTAAAGAGAAAAATGCAATGAAGGAATCAATATATAAAAGAAATTCCAAAATGGAAATGTTTCAATTCTAAAATGGAACGAGACAAGAAGAGTTATGAAAAAGAAATAACTCAATCCAGGCTCAAAAACTTTTAAGAACACACCTGATCTTTTTTGTTTTAATCAGTAATACATTTCTTCTGTGTTCCTCTATTTATGTTTTGATTTTTTTAACTGTTTCTTTCACTATACTTTATAAACTTAGATTTTTAATTGAGTGGCCTAATTTATATAATGGTCAATCAGAGCAATCACTTCTCTATTTTTACAACCAGTTCAGTCCCTGATACATAGATATGCTATTCTCAATGGCCTAGCTTTTATTTATTTCTTGAAGAAAGGTTGATATTATATTACTAAACTGTCCGCAATGCAGTAAATATACAAAGCTTATAAGCCCACGAGATGGGGGGCCAAGACCAAAAAATACAGCAGACAGATGAGATACATGGTTAGGCCAAAGGCCCACTAATTATCAGGTTGTTTTCTATTGAAGGAGAGAGATGAGATACATGGTTAGGCCAAAGGCCCACTAATTAACAGGCTGTTCTCTATTGGCTCCTTCACAATTACATTTTCTTCTTAAGATCATTTATAAACAATTTAGCAATGAATTCCCCCGCATACCAGAGACTCTTCACCACAAGCAGACGCTCCCTCCAAATTTCCTCCCACTCATGAGGTTGCCATTGGGCACAATTAGCATCCATAATGGAACTAAAGAATTCCATTGTGGATGAGTGGAAAGACAATAAGAGATAGAATTCGAAATGAATATATTCGAGAGAATTTATATGTGACACCAATAGGCGATAAGATGAGAGAAAGCAGACTTAGGTGGGTTGGCCATGTGTGGCGCAGACCCAATACATCACCAGTTAGGAGGTGTGAGTTAGTTCAAGTGGAAGGCTCAAAGAGGGTAAGGGTAGGCCCAAATGGACAGGGTTGAAAGTAGTGAGAAAAAATAGAGAAACTTATGGCCTCACTGAGGGTATGGCCCTTAATAGAGCATAATGGCATACCAGGATTCGTGTAGCCGACCCCAATTAGTTGGGAAAAGGCTTTGATGATGACAATGAATGGAACTAAAGAATTCAAATAGACTAAAGAAAATAAGAAATGAAAAATGTTTGATTTGCTACAAAACCATATAAAATTAGTGCTACCCATATCATGCTTTTCCTTTCCATCAATAATAGCAACTGAAGTCACAGGATCCAATGTGCTATAGATCTTACTCTGTTACACTTTGTGAGTCAAAGAGGCCTCATTGTAGGGTTTAACCACAATCTTCACCACCCAAACAAACTCACTGTGATAGTTCACTCCTCACAAAACTTCTCCTTTCACTTCTGACCCTACATGGATCCTCTTTTTTTTTTTGGCTACACTATAGGGGATTTATGTGGTAGCCCCAACCCTCAACTACATGGATCATTCACCATCACCCAAGGACTCCATATGTTGAAGCAACAAATATCCCTTATACCTCCATGAGGACGACACCTATTCTCCCAGCAACTTCTCCCAACCTTGTTCTCACACAGGACCTCAAACTCTCCCTTGCACACCATAACGCACTCCCTCTCCTAAACAACATAGCCCACCATCGTTCATGCAGGTTCCTTCTCCTGCCAACAAAGTGTCATTCCTCCTATTATTTATCCAAGGGTGAAAAAGGTTGTCAAACAGAAAACAAGGGATGAAAAGGTTATTAACCAAGAAACCACAAAACTAATAGCAGCCCCCAAATATCATCCTCACAAGAAGCTCTTATTTGGACATTCACAATCCATGAGGTTTCACTCAAAAATGAGATTTACCAGTGTCTTTCTAATACACTCTATGTGCAATTCCTTATGCAATCTAAAGAATCATTGGATTTTTTCTCAATCATTCAAACAGAAAACAAGAGATGAAAAGGTTATTAACTAAGAAACCACAAAACTAATGGCAGCCCCCAAATATCATCCTCACAAAAAGCTCTTATTTGGACATTCACATTCCATGATATCAGTGTCTTTCTAATACACTCTATGTGCAATTTCTTACGCAATCTAAAGAATCATCGGATTTTTTCTTAATCATTGAAACAGAAAACAAGGGTTGAAAAGGTTATTAACTAAGAAACCATAAAACTAGTGTTAGCCCCCAAATATCATCCTCACAAGAAGCTCTTATTTGGACACTCACAATCATGAGGTTTCATTCGAAAATGAGATTTATCAGTTTCTTTCTAATACACTCTACGTGCAATTCCTTATGCAATCTAAACAATCATCGGATTTTTTCTTAATCATTCTTAGTTTCAAAACCACTAACACACTAACCAAGAAGCATGGAGTTTATGGGGCACTCTTAGGTCTCTACAGCTGTCATAATCAATCAAAATAATGAAACTAACAACTTAAAGGAAGGCTGTCAAATTAGGCTACTTCATATGACAAAGACAAATTGGTCATGCAGATATGACCTACGAAGGTCCAATGAAGCTATTAAGAGCCTAATGTGCACAACTCATCAATTTCCATATCAAAATTAGGTGAAAATTGGAGTACAAGTGTAAAAATATAGCACAACTGATCAGATATGTCGTTTCCTTGTTAAGGGATTATATGGTATGTTTGGATTGAGCAAATAAAATTTGTAACACAAGTGCAAGCACTATACAAGAGAAATGAAATGTATGCAACAACGATATTATGGAATTTATAAGTACTAAGAATCACATTAAAAAGTGTATGGAATGAACTCAAAAGCACAGTGGAACCAAATTGTTAACAATCTGATTATTTGCATTTCCTTCAGAAGATCAGAAAATACAACCTACCCAAACCAATAAGAGTCTCCTAATCTTACCAAATGTAAAATCTTTTCATTTATCACAAGCATTTTGAACATAGATGGAACTTCAATAAGATAACATTAATCGTTTCCAAGTCCATAATACATTAGAACAAAAAAAGAAAACGTTAGAGAGAAGGAAACATTTACCAAGGAAAAAAGCAGGTAAAGCTACAGATTACATTATACACCTTTGAGGAAGAGAATACAATGCCTCAGCTGCAACCTCTCTTCTGCACCATGACACAGGAACCTATCTGACACAGGCTCCCTCTCAATAAACAATTCTTAAAAAGCTACACAACTGCAGAATTAAGAGAGAAAAAAAACAGAGGAACAAATGCAAAAAGCTCCATTTCCCCAATAAAAGAAGAAAAATAAAACTCAAGATTTTGTGGTATCTGAGTAACAGAGATTTTACAAGAAGATCACAAATTTCTCCACATCTTACTTGCCATAGGAAACCTCCAAGCCATGAGAAGATTACAAATTTCTCCACCTAGGACTTGGAATAGGAAACCACGAAGATGGCGATGGCGGTAACAAGAACCCCGGTGATGCAGGCCCCGGCCCAAGAATCCCTGATTGAGGTGTGCTTGAAAAAGAGAATCGAGGGTCCCCATTATTTGCAAAACTTGAATTAGGGGATGGCAAAGCAAAGGGTGAAGGCAAGGGCAGTGGTGAAGGCAAGAAAAATTGTGAAGTGGGTGAAGGCAAAACGAAACCCGGGCTTGGTAGGGACCTAGGTGAGGGCCCCACTTGTGGGGTCGGGAGCAACCCCGACGATTCTTGTATGGACCCACTTGGCCTTGCCCCTGGCTCAGAATTAGGGTTCATGAGGTATCGCATATAAGCAGAGACAGGGGATTCTGCAAAGTTATTGACCCATACAGCATCACCTGGTGTTAATGGAAGCAATGGTGAAAATGATGGGGTGGCCAATAATGGCGAGTTTAGGGGTTTTCCAGGGAATCCTGGATTTGGGTTGTTGAAAACGGGGTGATTTTGATTTAGGGTTTGTGGATTGTGAATTGGAGGCCTCAATGGAGGTGGTCTGATCCTTTGCAATCTCACACTTGGTGGTTTTGGAGGTTGAATTGGAACAGGAGCTTGGGTTTCTTGAGAAGGTGAACCTGTTAGCTGTTGGACTAGGTTTCTGAAATCGTTCTTGCTAATGTTATAGACCGGGGGTTGAGGTGGCTGCTGCTTCGAATTTGCAAAGCCTGAAGGATGAATGGGGCTTTTTCGTGTTACCCCTTTGCCAATTTTGTGGGATTGTTTGTTAATCCCTAGAAAGCTATCGCTAGGTCTATTGTTTCGATTGATTCCATCTCTAGAAGAGTTCAAATTCTCCATTAACTGAGAGACTGAATACAGAGTACTTTTTCCAGTAAAGTAGAGAGAAAATCATAAATCATACCAATTTTTTGCAGGAGAGTTTGTTGGGTCTCAAGAAAGTCAGGAACGAAGCTGGTTTTGACTGGAAAAAACTGATAGAAAGCTTGAATCTTCCATTAATCCAGCAAAAATGGCCATGTCCGCTGAAATATACCCCAGTTTTTCCTCAAAAACCAGATGATTAGCACGTAGAATAACAGACAGCTTGCCGTCCTCTTTCCCGTACCCAGCCTTCTATCCAACTCACAGGTTCTCTCTCGCTTTTTAGGTAATGGTGTGAAAACTTCCCTTGTAGTATTGACTAGAAACAGTGTGAGACTTCAAAAGCAACGAGTGCAAAGAAAACCTAGACCTCTTTCCGGAGATTTCTTCTCTCTAGGAATGAATGCAATGAAACCCTAAACGTGCATTTTTCGTGGGAACGAGGACATTAGAGAGAAAATTTTAGAGAGGGAGAGAGAGATTGGAAACCCAGTCAACGAAAAGCAGAGGCTGCCTAAGTGAAGCTCGTTTAGTCAGCTAAATGTACACGGCACCCACAAAACCAAATTTAATCGATGTGAAGCTCTTTATTAAGCGGGTGTCGCATAATAATACACACAAAACCATTTCTGTGACGTGTATGGTCCAGATTAACCGTGTAGGCATAGTTGAGTTGATCGCCACCGTTGCAGTTATGAATACTGTGGCTGATGTCTATGATGTGCAACCCAGCAGGCCTTCTAGTTGATATAATGTATTCTTTTTGTTTTTGTTTTGAAGTAGATAGATGAGCTAGCATTACACATTCGAGTGACCCTTGTGGACAAGGTTTATCTATCCTAGGAGAGAGTGAAGTCTATATATCATAAAAAATAAAAATAAAAAAAAAATACCTAGGGCATTTAGGCCAAAGAGCTAGCTATTTAGGAGATTCTCTATTCACTTAAAAACTTTACTTATTATTTCAAAACCCGGATTGGTAGGGCGGATAGTTCACCTACGTACCCTTGTTAGATCGCTAGATCAATGATTCAAATCATTCCAAATTGGCGATCTAAAAAATAATTTAAACAAAATAAAAATTAGTGGATCTAAATAATAAATATTTTTTAAAAAAAGGGAAAAGTTTATATAGAACCGAGGCTCTAAATAAGAGCTACATCGAAAATTTCATTAGAAGATGTTGTTTTGATGCTCCAATATCCTCAAATTGATCATCTCAACATCGAAATGCATGGACATGAGAAAAAAAATGGATTTCAAGTTTTAAAAATTGTATATTTTGTAACGCATTTTTTAACCATCAATTTTTTAGATTTTCAAGTTTTGATAAATCTATCAATCTACACTATTTTTAAACTTTAAAATTCTATAAATAAAGATGAAAATATATTTAAAGGCGAGTGTCACAAAGATTCCAGTACTAAAACCATATTTCTCGACACTATTTGAAGGTAGGCTCTAATTTGATTATTTAAAAGCTAGGCTCTATACAAACCACACCCTCAAAAAAAATGTATAATGGGCTTTTGGGGGGAACCAAGCGAGGACCCGTACTATGTCAGAATCGGTTCAGTTCGAACTAATTCCCATCTAAATTGATGATCCATATATTCCATGTAGAAAATCACGGGATTTTAAAGCATTTATATTACTAAATGAATAAAATAATATTTGATTTAGAGTTTTAAAATACTCGACATAACCAACAAAAAAAAAGGTCTGCTTATCTACACCCGATCTTAAGACAACCATTCCTTCAAGCGCACACATACGGTGCGCAGGCATTTTTTCGCTTTTTTGAAATTGGTCACTAAATGAGGTTATATCAACCCTAGAATTTGAGCTAAAAAGACTACTAGAAATAAATTTACCTTCGAATTCTAACAATATTGAGAGAAAAAGTTTCACTCTTTAGAATCTAATGAGAAAAAAGTTTAAGAATTGTACGCTATGAGACCATTTATCTTTACTATAAGGAGGTCACAATTACTAATTGTCATTAGATGGTAAGTTGTATAACTTGGGATGTGTCATAGTTCGATAATATATTTTTTATATATTTGAGTCTAGTCAATGACATTCTTACAACCACCCGATTTTGAAATATCATGCACAAAACTCGATTTTGACCTCCGTGTGCCAAACGTAAATGGCCTTTTTGTATAAGTTTCCAAAAGGTTATATAAGGTTGCAACCTTATACTTTAAAGTAAGATGCACCTCAAAAATCCAGCAAGAAATCGTGTTATGAAGTTGATAAATCCTATAATTAATCATCTTGACCTCGAGATGTATGGATATAAAGAAAAAAAGCATTTCAAGCCCTAAAAAATAGTACAATTTGTGATATTTTCAAGTATTTATGGATCTACTTAATTTGCACCATTATTGGAATTTAATTTTCATAATTATTGATGAACAATAATTTTGGAGTGATTGTAAGGTTTCCAACACTGGAGCTATATCTCTGACAAAAATTAGAGGTGTATTGCTTATATAATATAATGTTGAAACCTTTTCCCAATTAATGATATTCTTAAAAAAAAATTACTCGGTGGGATTATAAATTGCTCTTATATAAAACTTTACTTAAGACGGTTTTTTAAGGCAGCTTAAAAGGGACATAGTCATCTACCTATGGTAGAAATAGAACTCAAGACGTCATATTGTGTCCCTGGCCACAAGCCAATAAATCTATTCCAAAATGTGCAATAAATATGCTCCCACAAGAGCACATAATAAACTGTCTGGTGCATAGAGATTTCTTTTATGGTGTATGGTGAATAAGGCGCATTTTCTATCTCCTTATAAAGTCGCATCAACATTACACCTTTACATATATCTAAGGGACCAAAATATTGAGAAGCAAAATAAGAGAAGAGAGCCCTGGATGTGTTATGGTGAACAAGTGAACGAAACTAATATCCACGTGGATTAAGTTTTGAGTGAACTTTACCCAAATATATCTCATTTTCTAAGCATTTCATATTTTATCTTTTTTAAAAAAAAAACATTATACTCAAAAGTCATGTGTATTTTGATGATATTTTGAAATTAAATTATAATACATATATGAATTATTAAATAATAACATTTTAGATGTATTTTAACATATCCTTTTAATATTCCTAGCAAAAAGTCATCACCATAACCAACTACCCAAGGATGATAAAAAAAAATCCTAATTACTTTTTTTTTTTTTTTTGACAAATATTATCAAATTTTATTGCCAAATTAGAATACAGTTACATTACGCACTCATTACATCATTCAAAATAGAAATAGAATCCATAGAAACACCTCTTTTAGCCAGACCATCAGCAACACCGTTCGATTATCTAAAGACATGATGGAATGATAAAGATAAATCCCCTTCCAAATTAACCACTTGTACCCAGAACGATTGCATCAGCTAGATGACTCTTTGATCTTGGTGACACCACCTAATCATATTTTGGCAATCACCTTCGACCATTAAACAGCGACCCGGATTTATGGCTTTAATAAAAAATAATCATTTGAGCAAGGCTTTGAACTCAACCATGTTAGATGTGGCAATTCCAATAGGTCCGGCATAAGCAAGAATAATTGATCCAGTCCAATCTCGTTCCACACTTCCAATACCAACACTACCCGGATTACTGAGAGAGCTACCATCTAAGTTTAGTTTTAAACAACATTGTGCATGGGAGTATCCATCTACCAACCGGTCTTGTCATAACACTCTTAGAGAACACCAAATTAGCTAGACTAAGCCACAAATCGATCTCACTAAATCCTCTCCCATCATTAGTGACCGACAGCCAGCTCCATATCATATAGATAATACGCTGGATGAGACTTACATAGGAAAGGGCAATTCCTTCAAAAGTACGTCTATTCTGTTCCTTTCATAATTCCCAGCACACAACTCCTCTTACAATTTGCCAAATCATTGCCCCCAATTTAGGTAAAGCCAGAAATACTAATTGGGAGATGATACCCAAAACACTATGAGGTAGCGCCACAGTGACCTAGCGTACCAAAGAAAAAATTCCATATATTTGTTGCATTGCGGCAATGAAGAAGCAAGTACGAAATCGACTCTCCATCCTCTTTACGCATCAAGCACACATTGGCAAAACCTTTCCTCTTTTAATGAGATCATCAATAGTAAAGACTTTATTTTGTCTTGTCAACTAAATAAAACATTGAACTTTATGAGAAATGGGTCACTTTCAAATTTGGAAAATTTGGAGCAAAGACCACCTGTGGCGATCGTGGAATAAGAGGGAATACATAGCTTTATCGAAAAAATATCGTCCTTACTGTGCTCCCAAATCACCTCATCACCAATGTTATTAGACAACACCATCTCCTGTAACTGTGATAACAAGCTCGAGACCTGCACCACAAAATAGTCATTAGCACGATGATAAGGAAACTGGATATCCCACGCCACCTGCTCTCCAACAACTTGATAGGTTTCACACATCAAAACATTCGGGAAAAAGGCCTTAGCAAATTGATTAGGGAATGAAATCTTCAAAGGGCTATCACCTAGCTACTTATGATGCCAAAACAGAACTAGAGTATCATTCCCCATAAACCACCTGATATCTCTATGTAGATAGGCTTTGAACAAAAATATATATTTCCAAAAGACATACCTTGATGTACTTCTTCTACCTCCTTCAATCCAAACTCCAAACCTATAAATGTCGTATTTTATAATACGAACCTTACACCAAAGCTGATATTTGAACAATAAAATACGCCACCACCACTTTATCAATAAGGCCTCATTCATCAAAGCCACTCTTTGAATACCAATACCTCCTTCGCATTTAGGGGTACACACTCTATCCTATCTTAACAAATGATATTTCCTATTCTCCTCAAAAGACCCCCATAGATAACTATGCATCATCTTCTCAGTTTTCTTAATTACACTTGCTGGCATTTTCAAATGAGACATCTGATAAATGGGTAAGTTTATGAAGCACGACTTAACCAAAGTCACACGTCCCCCAAGCGATAGATAATTAGGCTTCCATAAATCCAATTTTGTTTGAGCACGTTGAATTACTCTGTCCCATACAAAAATAGGAAATCTAGAATCATAAATAGGAAGCCCCAAATACATAATGGGGAATTTTTCCACTTTGCATCCAAGAGTCATAGACAGTTCCTCAGCCAGGCCTCCACTGCAATTAACACCCACCAAAGAAGTTTTTGCAATATTTACTTTTAACCCCAACGTCACCTTACAACACCTCATAAATCTGCCAATATATTCAATATACTCCTTCTTGGCCTCCGTAAAGTTCAGAGTGTCATCTACATACTGTAGGTGAGAAATAATAGCACCGTTCTGCCCCACCTGAAATCCCACAAAATTGCCCCTATTGACCACATTAGATATTGTCAAGCTGAAACACTCCGCATATGTGGTGAATAAAAAAGACGATAATGGGTCACCCTGACGGAGCCCCCTGGAGGAATTAAAAAAATATTTGGGACACCCATCAATAAGAACAGAGAAATGAGCCGAGGAGATGC